GCCTCTCCCGGCTGCAGTGGGCCTCCCTGCTGCTCCTCTTCACGGGTGTCGCCATTGTCCAGGCACAGCAAGCCGGTGGTGGGGGCCCACGGCCACTGGATCAGAACCCTGGGGTGGGCCTAACAGCTGTCGTGGCCTCCTGTCTCTCCTCGGGCTTCGCAGGTGTCTACTTTGAGAAGATCCTCAAAGGCAGCTCAGGCTCCGTGTGGCTGCGCAACCTGCAGCTGGGCCTCTTTGGCACAGTGCTGGGCCTGGTGGGGCTCTGGTGGGCCGAGGGCGCCGCTGTGGCCCACCGCGGCTTCTTCTTCGGGTACACACCTGCTGTCTGGGGCGTGGTGCTCAACCAGGCCTTTGGCGGGCTACTGGTGGCTGTTGTTGTCAAGTACGCTGACAACATCCTCAAGGGCTTTGCCACCTCCCTGTCCATCGTGCTGTCCACTGTTGCCTCCATCCACCTCTTTGGCTTCCACGTGGACCCCTTGTTTGCCCTTGGTGCCGGGCTGGTCATCGGCGCCGTCTACCTCTACAGCCTTCCCCGAAGTGCAGCCAAAGCCATAGCTTCTACTTCCACCTCGGCCTCTGGGCCCTGCACTCACCAGCAGCCTCCTGGGCAGCCACCACCACCGCAGCTGTCTTCCCACCGTGGAGACCTCAGCACGGAGCCCTTTCTGCCAAAGTCAGTGCTGGTGAAGTGAGGGCTGGCAACGGTGTGGGGAGACAGGGAGGGGGACTGGGTGGAGGGTGTTGGGCATCTGCAGGGCCCAAGTTGCCCCTAGGGCCTGGCCCCTCTGGGGTTTAAGGTTTTTTATCCCAGGTCCTTGAGACTTTGGGAGGGGCATGGGGCTGGGCGGGCCCTTCCTTGTCCGCTGAACCCCCCCTCCCATGGAGGGGTGTTTAGAGCCACCTCCTCTGTCCCAGTCTCACCCCTTTGAGGACCAGGTTGGGGAGGGGATTGTCATTTAAGGCCTTTTTATCTGCCTCCCTCCTTCAGCCAGAGGTGTCCTGTCTCATGCCTGGGAGAGTCCCTCCCAGTAGTCCCTGTACCTTTGTAAGGACAAACTGGACAAAACTCCTACAGCTCTTTAATAATGACTGATGCCTGCCTGTGGGGTTTCATTTCCCATAGCTCCAGGCCTGCTCTCCTTCCTGGATCATGTTAGCAGCTCTTTTTGTGACCTTCAGGCAGCTTCCCTGACACTGAGACCCCTGAAAGTGGGTCTCTTGTGGGAGAGGTCGGGGCGAGAGCTGAGATCTTGCATCAGCCTGGTCCAGACATGGGGACTATGTGGTTTTTAGTGGTTTGGGGATTTGCGTAATCAGATAATTGATGATCCAGGGTATGGGAAAAGCAGGGAGGGAGGTCCCTGAAGTGGCTGAATCACTGAATCTAAGAAATACTGTCAGTTGCCAGATGCAGGGTTATTTTCTGAGAGAAAAAAATAAAGCTGCCAACCATACTCTTTGCTACCCCACTGGCTGAATGAGGCATCCTTAATTCATGGGGGAGGGGGTGTGTGTGTGTGTCTTAAAGTTGCTGAAATATGGAACTTGCCCCATGCATTCCTCAAAGCTTATTAACCCCTTAACTGTCTCCCAGGTGTGTGTGTGTGTATGTATGTGTATGTGGGGGCGGGGGTGTCTGCACCCATGCACACGCTTGGGAGATGCCTGGGCTGTCTTTGCTATGTGTAAATAGGGCCATTGGACCTTTATTTTTGATTAACTTGTTCTGATTTTTTTTGTTTGTTTTTTAAGGAACTGTAATGAACCAATGTCAGGATACCTAATGCCAAATAAAGATGTTGTATTTATTTAGTCCACGTGTAGCTTTCTGACCCAGGGGACCTGCTCTCTACACATGGGCTCTATTACTAACCCCAGGATTACCAGGCTCACTGCTGTCACCCTCGCTTGCTCAGAATGCCTGCCTGCCAGCCCACCCCAGCTTTTCTGTGTTTTTCTTTCCTCCCCATTTCCACCACAGGTTGCTCATCAAGGTGAAGGGTTCGTAGCTGCTGGGACTGAAGATGCTGGCCTGGCCTCGTCCTCCCTTCTTGCCCTGGCTCATCCAGGACCAAACTCTGATCAGTATTAGGGGTGGGGGCGAGGCAGACACCGATCCCCCCTACCCCCACTACCCCACCCACACACAGGGCTGACACACCCAAACTGATAAAGGAGGGCCCAGATAGGAACCACCTCAGCCTCTAGCCCCTGCTGCCCCCACGTCCCTGCCACCCCCACAGTATTTCTTAGGTGAGTTTTTGCAAATAAACTGCTTTGCATCTTGCCACCTTGGGTTGGAAAGCCTCAAAAACGCAAGAGAAGGAAAGCACTCTGGCCTGGTGGGTTCAAGCCACTGTAAAGCTTTTATTAAAATTCACGAGGGTTCAGTCCTGCTGCTTGGTTCGGGAGGCCTCGGCATTGGCCCGGAGCACAGCCCCTGGGGATGGGTAGGGACGCTGCTGGAAGAGGGGCCCGGCGGCTGTCGTGTCTGCACCCGTCTTAGCCTCGTTCCGCTTGGGGAGTCCTGTTGACCAGGTGCCCCTGGGGATGACAAGAGGGTCAGGGGGTGGGAGTGTGGGATGTAGCAGGCAACCCCCTCCCAAGCAACTGATGAGTCAGGGAAGGAGATAGTGAGGCAGAAAGGAATGATCACCAGCACAGGGAGTCCACGTCACTTACCGGGGTGCATCTGAGTATGCGCTGGGGTCCATTGGGTCTAACTCTTCATCCTTCCGGCTTGAAACTGTGGAAGGAGGTGGCAGAACAAGGTCTTCAGTGGAGGCACAAGGGACCACTTGATCACTGAGCTTCCCCCATTGCAAGCACAAATGGAGTCCACAGCTGCCATGGCTGCAGCACCTTCTCCCGAACCCCGGATTCAGGCAGTTGCATGAAGGGAAGTAAGGGCTTCCGTACGTGCTGCGCCCCTGGCCCTGCAGCCTTCCCCAGGTCCAGCCCTGCTCAGCTTACCCTTCTTGATCTTGGGGTAGGGAGCCAGCTCTTCCCGGCGATGGTGGCGCCGTTCTTTGGCCTCTTCTCTGTCCACCTTGTCATAGCCACGGTCACGTTCCCTGTCCCGGTCCCTGTCCCGGTCCCTGTCCCGATCCCTGTCCCGCTCTCTTTCTCTGTCCACCTTGTCATAGCCACGTTCACGGTCTCTGTCTGATTTCTCGTGGCCCCGGTCAGACTTCTCGTGGCTCCTGTCGGTTTTCTCATGGCTCCGGTCCGATTTCTCATGACTCCGGTCCGATTTCTCATGGCTCCGGTCTAACTTCTCCTCAGCTTCTAGGGACACAAAAGCCTTGAAGTGACCTCCTACCTCCAACCTCAGAACCCAGGGGCTGTTGCCTTTGCCAGCCTCTCTTGCCTGGGGCTGGGTTGGCCTGTCTCACCTGTCCCTCCTGGACCCACTATCATTTACTGAGCCCTTTCTGAGAAATGCTAGAAGCGCGTGAGGCACCTTGGGACCTGCCAACTCACCTGCATTACTGTTCCTGAGCTTCTTAGCAGATTTGGTAACGATGGAGTTGGAGTCGTGTGGGGAGAGCCAGGACACCAGGTCTGTGTCCACATTCCAGTAGTAAGGGAGTCCGCTGCAGGGCAGTGGGAGGGAGGGAAGACGTGTCGGCACAAATGTCCTCCCCTTGTAGCCTCAACTGCCTCCCAATCTCTACCTATACCTACCCCATGTCAGGACCCTCCAGGTCCCTTCCCTTGTGTCCCCCATTTCCCCCAAGGCCAGGGACAGCACAGGAAGGGTGAAAGCAGAAGTCAGCTTCCCCACCCCCCACCCCCCGAAGGTCTCCAAGCTTACCAGGAAGGGTCAAACACCTTGTACCAGTTGGGTGGCAGGCCCTCCAACCGGGTGGCCTCATAGTCCACGGGATCATCATCGTAGTCCTCAGCAATGATCTCTTCCTCTGGTTCTGCCAGGACAGGCAGAGGAGGAGAGCAGTAAGTATCAGGGATCCTCATCCTACAGTTTGGGCCTGGAGAGACGCTCACATTCACACGGACATGTGTGCGTGTGCCAGATCTCACCAGCCATGGCACATAGCGCTCACAATCCAAGTCCTAGCATCTAAACAGTGAACTTCGAGCTCTCCTTCCCGCCGGCGCCTTTCCCTTTCCCCTCCCCTTTCCCCCAGGCGCATTACCATCACCTTCCTCACTCCCAAGCTCCAAGGGCCCTTCCTGAGGCCATTTCCTCTATAAATTACTTCTTTTACCTCTATGATTTTCCAAATAAATGTTCTCTTATCATTTGAAAAAAATAAACAAATAAGTAAATAGCAAACTTACCAAAACATGTACGTACCTAAATCTGTCCTGTTCCTGGTTTCAGATAAGACAGGGGTGGGGAACCTTTTTCCTACCAAGGGCCATTTGGATATTTATAACATCATTCACGGGCCATACAAAATTATCAACTTAAAAATTAGCCTGCTATGTTTGGTCAAACATTTCATTAACTCACTCCTAATGCCTTGGCAGGGCCAGACCAAATGATTTCACGGGTCTTATATGGCTCACGGGCGGGACGTTCCCCATCCCTGATATGAGATGCAATGTTACCCAAGCCTATTTGGCTTCAGAGTTTTGATAGGGATTTATCCATATTCTTTCAGTTCCTGAGCTCAAAGAGTACATAGCAGCACACTACCAAAATCAATTTGGATAAAATGAGTTTAAACAGCAAGAAGTTTCTCTAAAAATGTCCAAATCTATTCCGCTCCCAAGCTTAGGAAGTCGGGGATTTCTGACTTCTGTATTTTTAGCAGCAAGAATTTGGATAGCAAGGGATTTATTCAAACACTGCTCTGAGTCCATTCAGTTCCTGACTGTACTGATGCATACTGTTGTCAACATCAGTAGAATAAAAAAGGTATATTGTCAACTCAATATCAGGCCCTCAGTAGGCCTGTCATGGACTTTAGCTGTGGATATAAATAACAATGAAATGTATATTTCAGCAACAGCATAATGCCTGTCACTGAAGGCCCAAAAGAGATGTCAGCTATAATCATTAGTATTGTTAACAAGGTATATACCATCAGAAAAAAAATTAGGTGCACAGGGCCTGGCACCAAATAGACTTAACATAATGTGTATCCAGGCACTTAGTACAACCAAAACACATATTGATATGGTGAACAATAACCTATATACCACCAGCATAGTTCCTGGCACTGCAGTAGGTCTGAAAATGTTATCATTATGGTAAAGGGCACAGTATCAGCATCCTGCCACTTCTTTGGGTACAGGAGATTGCAGTACATGACATGTATCCTTCTATCAGATAGTCTGTTCTCACTTCCATGGATGGACTGAATTCACCATGCAGTAGGCCCAAATAGGTATCAGCTGTCAATAGTAAGGATGAAATGTCTATCTTCCCCGGATTCTCACCCCCACCCCATACTTGACACCCAGTAGGAATGGGTGTCAGGAATCCGTATGGTTAACAAAAAAAACCCTGCTACCCCACTGCTTGGTGCACAGTAGGCCCATATATCATATAAGTGGCAGTATCAACAACAAAGTAAGTGCCTGTCAAGCCGGGCACGTGGTAGGCTCATCTGCTCTTAGCGCTCTCACCGGGCTCTAGATGTTTGAGGATGCCTCTCTTGGCCAGGCGGGTCTGCAGAGCAACAGGCAGCGGCATAGCGAGTAGCAGGCAGATCTAGGGATGGATAGACAGACTAAAAACCAGCTCCAAAGAAAATCTGAACCGATCCTATAACCAAGCGCCTCCTCCCCAGCGGGTGCTTATCTGGACCCCAACCACCTCACCAGTAGCTGGGCAGACGAAACTGCGCTCAAAGGTGGAAGAGAGAGTGGAAATATTAGCAAAACTCTCACCAGCCCTCCTCTTCAGGCCCCGCGATCCAGAAGCAAGTTCCTCTCCTAGGCCCTGGCCTTGCCCATTGCCGTAGGGGGCGAACGCGGCTCCCCCACGCCACAGAAATGGTCTCACCTGACGTCCCCCAAAGACTGCCGGGTGGGAGGAACCAAAGAGCTAGGATGGGGATGCACAGGGGAGCACGTCCTCCGCCTTCAAAATATGCACGTCCCTCGACGTTACCAATAGAGTCACGCAGGTAGGGGAACGCTGTCAGACAGGTTGCATCCCTGTCGTCGCCGCTAGACTCACCAGGACCACGCGACTCTTTCCTTCCAAAGCACAGAGCTGGACCGTCTCTCCCCAAGACTGGAAATGAAGTGGGCGAAGCTCAGGCTGCGAAAAAGATGACGCATGTGGTAGCCAATGAGAGTGTGCCGTTGGCCTGACTTACGACGCAGCCACCCAATCGCGCCCCGGCGTTGGTGGCAGCTCGGGCGCCCGTGTGCGTTTACCGAGGGGGCGTGGCACAGCCGGGCCT